TTGTCACGAGCCCAACATGCAAAACGGTAAACAAAAACGATCCAGGGCGTTATTTTCTACTCATTATTTTGCCGATCGGCGCGGGTCCCCCCCCCTCCCCCCCCCGTGGAGTAGGTCTTGGCTGTTTTTGGGCACCTGCTTCGAGCAGGTGAAGTCCCTCCCCCATGGGACGCACTGCTGCAAACAGCCGCACTAAGCAGAGGTCCGGAGCCAGACCCCCCTCTCCTCGCCCCCCCCTTTCGCTCAACGCCGAAACGCCGAATAAAAGAAACGCTCACAAGTGAGAACAGGATTGAAGGGGAACTGGGACACACAAATCATCAACACAAATAACCAGATTCCCCATATTTTCCAATGTTTTCTGGTTATTGTCTTCCCCCCCACTCCCCATGTTTTCCCATATTTTCTGGGGAATCGACGACTCATTGTGCCTGTGTGTTTTTTCCCACCTGAGAATAAAAAAACGCCCACAAGTGAGAGCAGGATGTTTTTTCCCCCTTGCCGTCCCGATCCCTTCCCGCGGATGGGGTGCCTCTTCCTCGCCACGGGCTCGCTCCCGATGGCCCCGGGGGCTCGCGGCGACCCGCCCCAGGCGCCGAAAATGAGGCGATGCGCCCGGAGATGGGAAGAAACCGTCCCCAGCCTATTCTTGGACTATTTTCGAAGAAAAATTAAAGATAGTCGCACCCCGAAAAAAGTCATGAGTGTCGAAGAGTACTATACAAACCGTCCCCAGACTATTCTTGGACTATTTTCGAAGAAAGATTAAAGATAGCCGCACCCCCAGAAAAGTCATGATTGTCGAAGAATACTATAACAATCGTCCCCAGACTATTCTTGGACCATTTTTAGGTCGGGCCTGTCCCCCTACAGGGGGATTTTGGATGACAAATAAAACATATTCAAAAAACATTCAAAAGATGTCAAACATATTAAAAACATAGTCCCCAGACTACTTTTTTGACTATTGTTGAATATTCCCCCTGTAGAGGGACAGGCCCGACTTGAGACTACACAGCCGTGACAAAAGTTTCTTCAATCTGCTATGATGAAGATCTCTCCCATCCCTCTCACGATTCCTAACATGACATGATGCTGGGATCATTCGGCGGAGTAGTTTCCGATCCCGGAGACGTTAAAAACTCTGTTACCCCCAAAGGGGATCGGAAATTACTCCGCGCCAAACCATAGAAATTATCGAGCGGGACGCGATTGCGCGCGGAGCAGTCTTGGCAACACTGCTCCGAACTACTCCGCACGAGCGCGTCACTCCAAAAGGCCAATTGAAAGAAGATTTCGCCACGGCGATGTACTTTCGGATCTTCCTCCTGCAGAGGGACACGCCCGACTTCATCTCGGGGCGAGACCAGGCCCCCCGAAGCCACGGATCACCCCATCGAGCTGCCCGGATCATCTCTGGCGATCTGTCGCCGCGCTGCCCGCTCTCGGCGCGCCCCGCTGTCGGCGGCAGGCCAGGACGGGGCAGTGAGAAGGGGCGGGCCTCCCGAAGCCACGGACTACCCGATCGAGCTGCCCGGATATCTCTGGCGATCTGTCGCCGCGCCGCTTGCCTTCGACGCGCCCGGTTGTCGGCGGCAGGCCAGGGGGGACGTGAGAGGGGGCGGGCCTTCTCGGGAGTCTCGGAGGTCCCACGGCCTTCTCGGAAGGTGACCAAGGCCTTGCCCGAAGACGCCGAGAGCTTCTCTGAAGGCCAGGAGGCCCTCTGAGAAGCCCCGCGGCCTTCTGAGAACGCCTTCTTCTTCTTCTTCTTCTCGCTTCCCCCCCCTCGCTCGCCGCCGAAAATGGACGACGCCGACACCACGACACACCTACGGCAAGCCCTGCGCCCCGCACTCCACTTGCCACTGAAGGAGGAGGCGGAGGAGGAGGAGGAGGAGGAGGAGGAGGAGGAGGAGGAGGAGGGGGAGGAGGAGGAGGAGGAGGAGGGGGGGGGGGAGAGAGGTAGGAGGAGGAGGAGGAGGAGGAGGAGGGAGGAGGGGGAGGAGGAGGAGGAGGAAGCAGACGGCGCCGGCACCGCGGCCAAACCCCACGGCGAGCCCCCCGCGCCCGAGGCGGCGATTGCCCCGGTGGCCGCGGCGGTCTCTCAAAGACGCCAAGCCGCGCGTCGGAGCAAGCGGCACAGCGACAGATCGCCGGAGATCCCGGGAGCTCGATCGGGTACTCCGTGGCCTCGGGGGGCTCGGTCTCGCCCCGAGATGAAGTCGGGCGTGACCTTCTACAGGAGGAGTCTTCGACAATAATCCCAAAATAGTCAGGGGACGATTTTTTTCCAATATTTTTCGTCGATTCTTGTTTTTTTGGTGTGTGTGTGTGACTATCTTTAACTTTTCCAGATAAATAGATACAAATAACAGGATTCCCAAAAGATTCCCATATTTTCGGTGTTTTTGTCATCCCCCCCACTTCCCATATTTTCCCATATTTTCCTGGGGGTCGACGATTGACTGTGTCTGTGTGTGTTTTTTCCTCTCCTGAAAAGGACTGGGGCTTGGTTCGCGTGTCGCGACGAAGCGCGGTGGGCTGGAACTGGCGGATCGACACGCCGAGTAAACATTCCCGACCGTAGAGAGCGAGAGAGAGAGAGATGATTAGGAGGACGAGGAGGATACCGAAGAGTGGCACCAGAGAGGAGGAGCTCAGAAAGGAAGACGTGATGTTCTTCAGGGGGCCCTCCGATAATTCAACGAGTGCGTCGACGATGGCGGCGATAGCCAAGCTTTTTGTCGCGTAGTTGTAGGAGACGCCGATCAAACCCCATCCTGATCGACTGAAGCAAATTCAATGCTCTGCATTGAACCTTGCGAGCGCATGTGTGAGACCACCACAGTGGCGAGACCAACATTGCTTTGCAATGCATGCCATGGCCCCGCAGTGGTTTTCCCGGAGCCACTGGGAGTGCAATACCCTAATAGAAATTGCTGGGTGTCTTCGCATAAGTCAATGTAGAATCAGACCATGGCGTACGAAGTATCCAAAGCGAAATATAGGTTGCGTGCTTGCGCGCATGATGACATGGGGGAGGGTAATACAAGACAAAACAGACACCGTTTGGATTAGAGAAGACTGCCGGACGCACCGACTTCAATGATTACTCAACCGATCAGCTGCGCTCTGGCATACATGAAAATTTGGAAAATGGTCATCACTGTCTCGCCAACTCACTCTACATTCGAGCGACATCGCCGGGCCCCTCCACGGCAAAACGTCTCGCAGCTGTGATGATGTTCGTGCGAAGGCGGCACCGCATGTCCGCGTACACCTCAAATATCAGAAGCCATCATTTACTACATTGATCCCCTCCTCCCTCGTCTAAGAAGATGGATTAAGGGGTAGGGGAGAGGCGGCTGGATAATCTATGGATTGGCTTTTCAATTTCTAGCCATTTGGAGCCTCGTTATTCCCAGAGAAGATCTCGTCCTCGGGTACCAGGGCGACGTTCTCCTGTATGAAGGAGAAGCGCAACGTGTGCTCGTACTTGTCCTTGACCTTTGAGACGCCTTCCAATGTCTTCAGCAAAGACGCCTTCCAGCGTCAGCTTTTGAAATTCACAGTTCCAAGTATGTTCATAAGATGGGCTTGCCCACTAACAGAGCTCGCACTTTCCTCAACAGCTTTGGCATATGATATAATATTCATTGCCAGGTCGTACCTGAGATGCGAGTAGATGCCACCCCCTACTGCTGCTCCCTGGTGCCGACGATGCTGGTAACTGCCAGTCGCCACGACTAGTCCAGACTAGTTCCCCTGCCGCTGGATAGCCCTGTCTAGCTCTACTGCCCCGCGCTGCCACTGTGATTTACAGTCGGACCCAGGCCAGAAGAACATCCCTCAAGAACATGAGACCCTCCGTCGGCCAAAGCAGACGGAACATCTGAGGGTGCCCCTCTCCAGGGTGCACAATAACATCCAATAAACACGAAGAACACTAGGGTACCCTCCCCGAACCGACCTCGATCTTATACCTCGGTCCGACTGTATGCGATGCCCAGATTCGCCACTAGCCTCAGCTAGCTTCGATCAGCCCCACGAACACTGACGATGCAAGACGTTATCGTTCGCCCCAACACGCTCTACTGTTCTGGTCCGCGCCTCTGGCGCATCCCTGGCCATCTCGACCAGTCTCCTCTGCCTGCGGTGCCGAGTCTGCAGATGCCACTGGCCCTGGGTGGCCCCGACGAGCCCTGCGGCCCAGCAGGGCCGCTCCAACTAGCCCACTGCCCTGCGATACCAATGGCTCAGACAGTCGTTAATTTGCCCCGGCTGCTCCAGAACAGCCCCCTGCCCTGCCCTGCCTCCGCGGTGTGTGCAAAGTGGCAGATGGAACAAACAGTGGCTAGCCCCAGCTACGTGATCAGCTCCGTTGCCATGGCGGTGCCGACGGTGTCGCTAGGCCGGGCCAACCCCGACACACCTGCATGCTTTGCGGCTGTGTTTGCGGTGTGGATGATGTTGGTACTTGCCGCTGATTCCGACTTGCCTCCACCAATCTTCACCGCCCTACGGTGCCGACGATGATGGCAAGTGCGGCTAGTCACGGCGAGTTGACCCGACTCGCCCCACGTCTCCAGCTCCGCACGATGCTGTCAAGGCCACGAACCCTGGCTGGCCTCACTGCTGTGCGCTGGGCGATGACTACAAGTGCCACTCCACCGGATTAGCATCATTTTATTACCAGTGGTTGCAATGCCAATAGGTGCCAGAAGCCTCGGCTAGCCCGCCTAGTCCCGCATTCCTGGGCTGCCCGTGATGGTGGTAGTTGCCACTAGCTGAGAATAGCCCCGCCGCTCCGCGCAACCCCTGCTGACAATGATGGCCGTAGCCGACACCGAGCCCCACCGCTCTAGCGGTGCTGACAGAGGTGCATTTTCCACACGCGCCAACCAACCCCGCTGTATCACGGTGCTGACGAGGTGGGCAGATGCCGAAGCCCCGGCGAGCTCCACTGCCACTTTTGTGCCGACGACGCGGACAAGTGTCTGTAGCCTCGACTGATCCCGTCTAGCCCCACTGCCTTGGCGGTGCCGGCAATGCCAGCCCCTGCTAGCCTCGACCAGCCAGCCTAGCTGCCCTGTGCTGCCGACAACGTTGAGAGTTACCCGCAGCCCCGAATAGCCCTTCTTCGCTGTCAATTGCCAGAACCTTGTGCGTCGCTCCCCGCGATGCGCGGTTACCTTCGCTGCCTCGCGCCGCCCCCCAGGAGAAGGGCAGCTCTCCAGCGCAGATCGCGACCCGCGTAGCGCGATGATCTTCGCACCCCTGCCTGCGACCCAAAGCAATTCGGCCCTGGCAGCAGCCGCCACAAGCCCGGACTAACCCCGACAAGCCCGACAGCCAACCGCAACCGAAGGTGCTGGTTGTTGCCACTGGCCGCGACTATCCCTTGATAGCCTGCGACGCGCCTGCCGCGCAGAGACCGCGCTGTGCAGGGGCATGCGCGTCGTGGGTCGAATGATGCTGGAGAAGATGATCTCGTCCTCTGGGATCCCTGTTGCGCGCTTCGCGCATGTCATTCGATGGCCACAAGAGAAAGCGTACTCATCAACAGCGTAGTCGTCGGTGCGTGCCGGGTGCTACCAGGAAGCTTGTAGCCCCAATTCGACGATCCTACTTTATTGAGAACGACGGTAGTTGCCACTAGCCCCGACCAACCCCGACGACAAAATCTCCGCATAACGAACATCTGGCATTGCGCAGGGGCATGCGCAACACGGGTCGGACGTTGCGCTGCAAATGATGTCCTTCGCCCTCACCCCTCCGTATCCCGTTT